CTTCTCACCCTGGAGATAGTCTGTTTGACCTGCTCCCCTCAGGCAGGAGGCTCCATTCGCACCAGAACCTCTCGCCATAAGAACAGTTTCTTCCCCTCTGCTGTTGGACTCATGAACAATAACCGTATGACTGTTCCCACCACTAACACATGACCCTACACTGTGTTCACTGCATCATGCCATATTGGCACTGATCACCACCTGCACTCATGTATATATCTATCTACTTACCACTTTTAATTCTTATTTTTATGTCTATTTAAGCGTTATATGACAGTATGTTTGCACTAAGTACCGCAGCAATTTCCTAATGTTGTAAACCTGCTCAACATTTGGCAATAAAACCCTGATTCTGATTCTGATTCTGATCACAAAGGATTTTAACTCAGAGCTTCAGCATCTTCAGTGTGAAGTAAACGACAATCTCATAAAAACAAACTTTCCGGACATCACCTTACCTGACATACTAAACCAGTTCTTCACCCACTTTGACCAACAAAACAGGAACACCAACACCCATCCTGCTGTTTTAGAGAGGGACGACGCCCCCATCCAGCTGGAGCAGCATCAAGTCTGAGCACTCCGCCATCTACATTGATGGGGAGGAGGTAGGAAGGGTAGAAAGCGCTGTTTGAATGTGTGTGCGTGTGTGTGAGAGAGTCTTTGAGCGGTATGAGTGATCAGCTGAGTGGAAACATCATTTACCCTAACGCACCATGCAAAGCATAATTCCTGACGATGGTGTCGATCAACGCGTAAAGTCCACACGGCAGAGATCTGTGACCTCCCCATGTGGACCACTGGTGGAGGCGGGAGCAGCAGCGACGCCGGAGGGCCGGGAGTCGGCCTGGAAATCACCCTCAGCACCACCGGCAGCACCCTGCACTCCAAACCCCCCAGAGGCACCAAGAACCTCCCCATCAGTTTCCAGGTGGAGGAGGAGGAGGGCACTAACCTGCCACAGGAGACCAACAAGTCGCAGACATACAAAGACGGCGTGATTAAAGCAAAAAGAAGAAGAAAGCGAAGGTAGGGAAGAGGAGGGAAGGGGAAAAGAGGAAGAGGAGGGTGCGCTCTTTGGGGTGGAGGCTGGAGGATGAACTCCACCTGGAGCGGACTCCATATTTAGTGGAGGTCTCTGCTCGGTCTGCAGAGGGCGCTGCATTAAAACGCCGTCAGTCTCTGACAAAGGTGAGTCCAAACAGCTGACCTGGTTTTCAGAACAAGATCACATGATTAGAGAGTTTTCAGAAGACGCGTGATACTGCAGAGTGCAGCAGTGCACTGACTCTGTGCTGTGTCATTGTTGTGGAGCTGAGATGATGATGTCTGAAAAATAGGGTGGACAGTTAGA